GGAGTGTGATCTCACCTATGTAGACCATTCTAACAATTTAGAACATTCTTTGCACTTTTCCATGCTTCTCAACCTAATCACAGCTAAACAGCCATGCCAAAGCACTTGCTACTTACTCAAGCAAGTTCCTAGGCAGAGTAAACTTCAGCTTATGCAAACTTCATAAAAAAAAAGGAAACAAAGCTCACTTGGAAATTTAGTGTATGCATTCAAACTTTAAAATACATTCACACACTTCCCATATTTCACTTTGATTACCACCTTAGGAAGAAGTGGTAAGAAACAAGAAAAAAAAAAAACAAACTATTGTTAGCTAAGAATTTCTGGTAAGGAACCTGATTTTTCTTTTACTGATAAATACTGAATATTTCTACTGAAAAAATTTGCAAAAACAATAATTGACAAAAACATCTTTCCAACTCCACTTGCTCCCATCTGCTAATGTGCTTACTTCACATAGCAATTCTATACTGAAAAACCACTAGACTGAAAAAATAAATCTTAATTGAGTTTAGCATTTATTTGTAACTAATTTGATTGTGTGGATGTCAATGTACACATTTAACACTGTAAGCATGATAAATTACTGAAATAAGGTCTTTTTGTCATAGAAACAACTTTCATCAGCATTTTTTTATTTCAATAAAAGTTTAAAGCTTTTAAAAGCTTTAAAAGTTTAAGTTTTTCTAGGCTATTTAATTTCAGAAATTTTCTGCAACTGGAACTTTTACATAAATTACATGTGTCATTCCTTCTATATGGGGAATATTAGGTCTTTAGGTGAATGTCTACTTCTGAATGATAAAGACAATAGTTCTTCATAGGAGACAGAAAGTAACAGAAAAAATTACTAACTAGCAGAATTAAACATAGTCTTACAAAGGTGGTGATGGATGTAGCAGTGGATAGGTGAGATGACTGTTTTGCTAGACCTAAGTAGCCTTGCTTCTTCATTTTAGCTGTGAGATAGAGCTTATACTGTCATTACATAGGAATATAAAGTTATCTATTGCAACTACAAATATGTAAGATTTAACTTACTACTGAGGGTTTTGTAACAAAACAATGGATAGCTAGGGAAAGGACAGAAAACTAGCAAGTAAAGTAGAGAGAGACTTTCTCTTAAGCAAAATGTAAGGAGTGAAGGGAATAAAGTAGCAACATGGAAAAAACCCCACACTCTCATCTTTAAAGTACTACAACAGATTCCTTAGGATCCTTAATGATCAAAGATAACACTGAAACTCTGCACATTGAAGCGAAAGAACTGAACATCAGTGAGACTGATGATTTTGCAAAGTGAAATACTTTGAACATCTCTTGTCACTGAAATGAATTCCTGGCGATAATTAAAGATCTGTCCTTGGTCTTCTAAATCTGATTACTTTGACTTTGACACACAACATTGGCAGAAATTAAATACTGATTACATCATTCATATATGGGAGAAGTGAAGACTTCAACTTGAAAACTGCAATTTTCTTTTATACTAATATGAGCTCCCTAAGAGTAGAAGTAATTCTAAGTTTGAAATAATGACTCAGTCAATTTGCTCTGAATATATTCTTTTAAGCTATCTGAAGTTATAGACCAAGTTTTATACTGTCAGTTTAAAAAACCTCCAAGAATCAACATTAATAAAAATATATAAAAAATTCATCAGATCTTAAAATTATTTTACTCCAGGTACCCCTACTGCTTTTGTGTCTGAAAAGCATTTTACTTCATGAAAATGCCGACCACAAACAGACAAAAACATAGTGAGAATCTGAGCAGCTACTGGAATGACAAGAAAAACTTGTAAGCCACATTGTGTCATCCCAAACTTCTGTCATGTGAGTATTCAGCAAATTCATCTAACCATTTTAAGAAAGCCATAAAACTTTTAAATAATCAAAACTATATTGAACAAGATAAAAATATGTCAGAACCACTATAAACTTTATGGCTGAATGACTGAAAATAGGAGGACTGTTAGTGCAGTATCCTCTGAGCAAAACTTAGATTGCCTCTACATGTGAATCCATCTACTACAAATATGGTTTAAATGCTCTTTGTGCAGTGCTCAATTCTGTTTGAAACTCAAATACAATTTAGAGACAAAAAGGTGTCCTACAGAGATTTATTAAAAGCTAAAGAAGTCTTGGGGATGTACCTAATCATTGACATAGAGCAGTCCCAATGGGAATTTGTCTCAAAAAGTTCCTATGTCCGAAGAAACAGAATTACTTCTTTTACCAGGAAACGACATTTATGAAGACTGATTGAAATATCCAGGTTCCAACTCAATACTTGTAATTGAGTACTTTGTTAGAAACAGAGATTTTCAGAAAACATGGATGGTTAGTTGTAAACAGTAAAGCAAATTTGCAATTAAATGTTGCATTTTGTCTACATGATCTGGTTGTATACATAAACAACATTAAGTTTTGCAAAATATGATTATGAAAGGTAAAATCCTCTAACAGATCAATCAGGAGCAATAGTAACATCTTCTCCCATACCTTTTCTCCAATATCCTCATGAATTAGTTAGTAACCTGCTACTTACATTCATTTAATAGAGGTGCTCATGTCATTGCAGAAACTTTTTTTTTTTTTCTGAGACACACTGAGATTTCTGTTATTCAGCAAATTCAGTAAGAGAGATGTAAGGGTTCATGTATGCTTAGGACAAAAAAATGCAACAAGGAAACAGTACAACAAAATAAACTGGAATATGCAGTTGACAAAGAAATATAGTGCCACTTGCTCTGTGGCTAGACCACCACTTCAAAAATAAGTATAACCAAAGAAATAATTTTTTTCACCTGACACTTCCTTATCTTTGTTTCATGTCGTATCTACATGTTTTGGAGCCCTGAAATAAGTTCTAAACCAGAAAATGAGCCTATTGAAAAGATACACACTTGCAGATTAAAGAAGCAAAATAAACAACCTTGGAACATCACCTGGATGCTGAAGTTCAATTTACTTTTATTCTCCTTACTGTGTGGGCAAGAGGCCAGTATAAACTTAATTCATACTGCATTATTAGAAAGCCAGGATCCAGAAGGAAAAACAGAATAAGTGAAGACATTTAGACACATGACAATATTGAAGAATCTGAATGAACCACATTTCTTGATAAATTCAGATGATGTTTGAAAACTTGAGGATACTGTAAAGGACTGAACAAAAAGATAATGGGTAGTTACTTTGTTTTTTTGAAAGTAATACACAAAATGAACCAAGAACTCTCTAAGTGGTAAAGAAGCTTATGTGCAAAATCCAGCCTCTAAGTATTAGGAACAGATGCCATCACCCATCAAGTTTATTTTCCAGTTGGGTGTTTTTTGACTTTTCCCTTTATCAGCTTGTAACAAACCACCATCAAATACATCACAGAAAATCTAATCTACCTAGATGCTGCATGGCAATTCCTGTTATAAAAGTGGTGTGGTCTCACACATTTTGAACAAAACCTGATTTTGCAGTCATACATGAAATACCAAAGCGTGATCTAATTATGAAATGAGCTCATCTCCACTAATTGCCCAAACACAGTTTCAAATTTTCAATCTGTTTCAAACTTCTAGTACATTTCTTCTGTAATCTCTGAATCTATTAAGACAGTCTAGAGGATTCTGCATTCTGCTTCATAAGAGATAGGCTTTACTCCTTCCCTTTGTGATAAACTTCCTGAAAATATATAGGTATCATCTAGAGCTATTTTTCAGTAGAGATGTCTCTTATTTATGCCTGTTGCTGGTCACCTTTTGTTTTCTTTGGACAATTTTGTTTTATCAACGGGCATAAGGCTCAGTGCACTTTTGTCTTGCTCTTCTGCTCTGAGCACTGTAATGCATAAAGCTCTATGCTTCTATTTTTAAGCCATTAGACAAGATACAAATTTTAGGAAAAAAGTGAAGGAGATGCTTACAGATAGAATTCACTGAACAATCTTGAGAAAAGTAGACTATATAATGAAGCTCAAGTTTGCTGTCCATCAGAATAATTTTGATTCTATTACAGTGAAGATAACTACTGCATAAAACAATCCCATAGGTTAAACCAAAGTATTTCTATGGGTGGTTGCCCATAAATCTTGTTTGCTGACAGAAAAGAATGAGACAGTAGGAGAGAAGAACTAGCAGATGCTGGCAATCATTTTAGCAAGCAGAATAATCTTCAAGGATCATGAGTTAGATAAGGAAGAACGTTATTATTTGCCATCTGCTACTGTTTTATTAGTATGTCAGCATCTGGTGCTACAGAAAGATCTTTGTGATGAGAACGCACAAAGCAAATTTAGACAGTTTTCTTTGCTGAAAGGAATTCTGCTGAATGCAAACATTACACACCTTGCCACTGGTCAATTTGCTTAGTTTTTGATGTATGCTGTTTAAAGCTTGATAGAAAGTAAACATATAGAGTTCACCTCAATGATTAAATAGGATGGTCTAATCACTAAGAACTGAATAATAATCCCACAAGGTTGGCATTAAAACTTTCTTTCTATTTAATTTTGGCTGTTTTTTGTTTCCAAATGTCAGGCAGCAAATATCTAAGTTTGAGCATAGCCAGTTGGTTTGAAAGTCTTAAACTGAACAATAATAAAGTGGGGCACAGATCTGCCCCAGCCCAGGCTAGAAATTTGCACATACTTTTTGACAAAATACTATTTGCTTAATGTTGTTACTCAGTGGCAGGATTATCTATGTTCCTGGGGATACTGAGAGGATACTAAATACATTCAATGTGCTAACAATTTCATATTAATGATCAGCATTGCAAGAGATAACATGAAACTTCAGTAACCATTAGGTGCTGGTGGACCCACAGGTTAAACCGTGCAACAGTACACATGGAAGGAGCTACGCTGTCTCGCATTTATATTATTATGTTAGGTAGAATGACACAACCCTTGCATGCGAACCAACCTTGTTCAGCAGAGGCAATACATTAATCTGATAGATTACAGGGCTGAGTGTGGAGCCTGCAAGGCATAAATGTACTTACTTTTGGTGTTGGGCAGGATGCAGTGGAGAGGCGAGAGGTGGCTTGGGCACGAGGAGATTCTGAAGGAGTAGTACTGAGGGAGGCTGTATCACGTGGGAGAACCTGAACACCTCGAGAGATGATGGAATCTGGAATCTTAAAAAGAAGAGAGATGGAATTAATAAGCAAAAAATACACTGTATGTAAAATTTACTCAAAACCTTACTACAAAAACATAGGAATACCCCACTCCTTAGTTTGCACCTCCTCATACTCAGTGCTTGGCAGTGGTTAATGGCATACTCTCCTAATTTCAGTCACAAATACCTAACAAATATATAAGGCCACATTCTAACTGAAGTAGCACAGAACATACTAGTTGTCCTGAAAAAATTATGAATCAAACATACTACAACAGGAAGCAATAAGAAAATAATGGCTTCCTTGTAAACCTTTGTTTCAAACCCAACAATGACCAACACTGATTTCTACCATAGCTAAGGAAGGCAGACTTTCCATTCACTAAGTAGGGGGCAATATTCTGAAAAGAAAACCATTTGCTAGAAATTTACTGAACCCCTCTAAAGAAACATCATGCAGTGAGAAAATTTCTCACATGAAATGTCACGCAGTGAGTAAATACTCTTCATTCCATGAAGACTTTATTTCAGCTACAAAAATTCTCAACCTAAGGTTTGTGCTGCAAAAGCTACAGGCCTCTCTGGAGGCACACATAAAAATATAATGTGACATGGGGAATTTCTCATTTTTCTCACCTACATTTAGAGAGTTTTTGAATTTTATTATTAAAAAACTAAATTTAGGCAATGTAAGTCTCTAATCAAGGCAACTTCTAGTTAACTCTGTTAAAAAGGTTAATAAACCCATGAGAAATTTCTGTGTGTCCTGGTGCACAGAAACTTGAAATAAAGAAGGCAGGAATATTACTGCATTTTGGACAGATTGTTCTTTTAACTTGCACTGAGTCACACTGAGCATTTATGATTTGTCTCCCTAATATTTTTTATTCATTTTTCAGTTTCAAATAATTAAATACAGAGCAGAGATCTCAAAACTTTAAATGTGATACAATAAAATTCTTAGCTCTTAGTGAAAACAGTTTCTGTTTGCACTAGCTGGAGTGGAAAACCTGTTGTAACATACTGACAAAGACGGAAATTAATGAGGAATGAAGTTACAGATAAGATATTCACCATAACCATTGCTTCCACAATTTTTATCTGACCTGGCCTTTCTCTGACATACTTTTATTTTGGTTTAAATATTTGTGCTTTCATATTAGAGAACTTTGACAAGAGCATTGACAAGAAGGGGAAAAAGTTAAAGATGGGAGTCCTTTATTCTCTTTTTCTCAGAACTGAAACAAAGATTGACAATGATGGTGAGGTAAGAAAACAATCTGTAGGTGGCAATTACTATGACTTTTATACAAGAGGAAAGAATGTCTTAAAAACATACAGAAAGGACAGCTTAAAAAACCCAATAACCTGCCAAAAAACCTTCTGCTCCAAGATTGAAGATCTGATTTGGATTATAGAATGCATAAAACAATAGCTCAAGAGTAATCTGCAAAAAACCACAGGAACATGTATGACAGTTTAACAGTGCTCTTCATAGAGGCTAAATTAACTGTTCTGCTGAAGAAAATGGTGCAAATTCTAGTTTAGCAACCTCAACTCCAAAAAGTACCACTGCAATAAATGGGTGTATGTATGTATGTATGTATATGTACTATATAGCTTTATCATCAGGTTTGTGAACCTCAAAGTCTTCCCCCTTCCTAAGTGACTTTTCTGGAGACACAAGTTTTAAATACAGAGGTGTTAGGCTATTTGATTGATGGTTTAAATTACTATTTGTCTAAGGGAGCAAGTCCTTTTTTACCATTCAATGAAACAGTTTTCTACTATTCACTAAAACCCAGTAATTTATAATAAATCCACTGCTTCCTGACTCCTGAATTCTTCTGTTTTTGAGAAATTCTACTTCTACACAGAAAACAAAAGGCAGAAACTGCAAATGATGAAAGCAAACTATGAACACCCAGTGCACGTTGTATTGTGTTGACAAAAAAAACTCCTGAGAAAAAAGCAGCAAAACAAGACGAAGAGGAAAAGATACCATTCCACAGCTCTAAAGCAGTAATTTGAGGATATTATTTTAATTATATTCAATTATTGAGTATATTAGATGATAAAGCCAATGACTAATCAGAAACAGAGGCTTTATAGCAATTATTATCTGAGCAGCTAAATGATTCAAAGTGGCAACACACATGACCTTTACCTTGTTTAGCCCTTTATCTTACACAGATATTTTCTGTAACGTGTGCTCTCAAAGATATCACTGGTATGTCTTTGTTAGAAGAAAATAAACAACACTCTCTGTTCATACATAGACTGGGAGGCAGGCAGAGCATTTTTGGTTAGTGTTAGTGCAAAAGCCTCTTGGAAGTGTCTCTTACCAGTTCTCCTGCACTGCCTGCTGCATGATGGCAATGACTGATGAGACCAGGGATGGGCTGTTGACCTTTAGCCATGATAACAGCTGGACTGGTAAAGGATGGATGCTTCTAATGCACAACACATAACAGCTATGAACACAGCGGCAGGAAAACATGAAACCGTACAAGCAAATGACCAAAAATGAATGAGGTGAAAACAGCTGTGAAATGCCAAGGTCATATGAACACAGCCAGTTGAGAGCTCAGGTATTTCCTGCCTTTAAAAATGGCACACATTATTTATCTTTGCCTGCATCAAAAGAAATGAAACAATTTAAAATTTGCATTAATAAAAACTGATACTTGCAAATTATAATTACCTTAATTCATCCCTGCAAAGACATATGTAATCAGAATTTTCTGTATATTGGGAGATGATCTCCAGCTGCAGCTGTCTTAGAAATGCCAAGATGTCTCACACCTGAATTCACATTTCTGGAGTTAGGATGCTGCTGCGTTGGTTTAGAAAATGTTTAATATAATTTTGAGTTACTTAGACTTTCAATTCTCATAATAGGAATTAAAAGCACAACTTGTAGAGTAGATATAGAACAAAGTAGTTTGGAAACTGTTTCCAAACACACAGGGATACATTAACTTTCCGTTTGAAAACTGAACACATAAAACTGAGGCAAATATTTATATATTGCTTCAAATTGCACAATAGTTCTTGGAAAATATTTAAAATTTGAATTGAAATTATTTACAAGTATTACCTCTTTTTTTTCTTTTGGAGTCTCCAATTTATTTTAGTTAGAGTAATGCTGATCTATGATTACTGGTTAGAGCAAGGCTATAGAAACATTATGATATTTAGTCTGTTGGCAGAATTTCACATCTCTTATGCAGACATGCACACTGGAATACAGTAAACTGGATAGTTTATTACTTGAATTATTACCTGTCTGTCACACTTTTATCACTGTTTTCAAAAACAAAAATTTTAATTTCAAATTAGATATTATGGGCTGCAAAATTTTGCTGTGATTCCTTAGCATGCTGCCTACTGGACTTTGCATGTTCAGGCGTGTGAATACTTTGAACTAAAAAAAGTCATGTAACTAAAACCAGTCTGCTGCATCACAAGGGTATCATAAAACATATGTTAACATTAAGATAACAAATTGTATTTCTCCCACTGGAATTTGAAATCTCCTACCGAAATAGAATTCATATATTTTTATGAAGCTCTACATCTACAAAATGTACCTGAAATACATCTGTTTGACACAAAGACATCAATGTATAGTCTTAACATGCAAACGGACACTGGTGGAAAGTGCCTGAGACAGAAACCAAAGGGTCTCTTAAGGAAAGAAGCCAGACTCACCTTAGCTGCAATAGCTGCTGCTGTTATATGTGAAGAAGAACTGTCCTCTGTTGAGGCAACTCCACTATCCTTCTTCTCTTCCTCCTCTTCCTCACACTGCACTCCTTTGTCTTCTGTCTGTTTGTGAGGGCTGGTGGTTGGAGGAGGAGAAAGAGGGGGTGGTGGTGAAGGTAGATCTTCAAGCTCATCATGTACCTCCTTTACTTTTACAATGGCATCCCGCAAGAGATCAATGGCGTGAGGTAGGGCTGGCAGTATAAACTGAAAGCATTCCTATGCAGAACGAGAAGAGGAACCACTATGAAAAGTTACCTGCACATGCAAATATGACTTTATTCTTTAAATACTTTTGGGATTTAGATGCCTCTTTTCACCTGATCATAAATAAAACCTACCATGTCCTATGCAACTGCTCTTAAAAGATAAATTAACTCAGAAACAGATCTAGTGACTATTCTATACATTTTTGCCTTTTCTCAAGCAAGTACAGTAAATTGCACAACAGGGCTATTGCAATGTAGCTAATACTGAAAACAAGAGTTACATTTCTGTGAATATGTAATACAGAAAACAGTTCACAGCAACTGGCAGAATGCTACAAAATCACAGAAGAAAAACATTAACTTTATCCCTGCAGGGATATTAACTTCAAATCTTTCCTATTATGTTCCCTCACAATTAGAGAACAATTCATAAGGGTTTCCATAATTCTACTTTTATATAATTAGATCCTTTTTTATTCATGGACTTATTCTATATACTGGAAGAATGACAAACTACGCTGATATCATTAGAATGCCATGTAACTAAAAAAAACTACATAAACAAGCTATTTTCCAAAGGTCTCCTTGTTCTATAATCTTACAAACAATTAGAAAGTTTATTTTATATGGCTGGAGAAAGCAAAAGTGCAAAGACCTTGTTCCATAATGGGCATACATATAGCTACCATGTATAGCTATCTATGCTTCTAAAATACACTGGTACTTCATCAAATCAAAGTGAAACCTCAGGATGTGATGTGCTGCAGCTGCCTGCTCAGATCAGGGTCAGTATGAAACTCAGGCTTCAGAAGGCTTATTCAGTAAAGTCTTGAAAAACAATCCAAGAACAGAGACTTCACAACACTTGTTGACAACATGCTTTAATGCTTAATTACCCTCAAAATGTTTGGCTTTTTTTCAGTTTTGTTTTGGTTTTCCATTTCTTTTATTTTTCATCTGGAAGCTATCTCATTCAATTTGTGACTATTGTCTTTTATTCTTCTCCAAGGCATCTCAAGAAAAAGTTTTCTTACGTTGTTTGAGCAGACTGCATATAAACGTTTCAGTATTGGAAAATGATGGCAAGGTTACAGGAAATAATTGCCATGGCAATGCAGTCAGGAACACACAGGTTGACAGACAAAGCTGGCATTATTCCTGTTGTTGCCCTTTGGTTTTGTTTCCAGCATAGGAAGGTTTTAAAAAATGTATTTTGATATTTTAGAGTATCCGGAAAATAAAAAAGTTTATAAACAGATAATGAAAGAAATATTTTCAATAAATAAACATAACTATGTAAACAAAATAAAAACCAGAGAATCCATCAGAAATTACTGGAGTTTATATATCCCACTTTGTAATTTAAACATGACTCACAAGCATTGTATTTCCTCACAGCTTCTAAATAAGAACACATTTTTCAGTTGCTTCTTTAACAGTAACAAATGTCAAGTCAGACTACCTCACAGATTTAAAAATACTTTAAACATTCAAGTTGGTACTGCGAAGAGCTGGAGTAAACCAGGTGAGCACAAATGCTGTGTATCATGAATGTATATTAAAACATATTTGTAAAGATAATAAAGATTATGACTTATAATGTAACTTCAAACTGCAGAGCTACTGTGTCTTCACAGTATTACTTTTTAAATTGTTTAAAATAATGAAGCATATAACCATCACTACTTTAGCAAAGGAGCAGATCTCAAGTGAGAAACAAGAACAACAATCTCTGAACTGACCAATAACTGAAAAAGTACACTAATAATTGACTAATTAGAGAAGCATGTTGCCCACTCCAAGCTCTGAAATAAAAGCCTTGCTGGCTTGAGTTTAATGCACAGATTTCCAGTAAGTCCTGTAAAAGCTCATGTTACATATGAAACTCATTGTTTTAGGCAATTTTTACTACAATTATAAAATGTCAAAGATTTAATAAACATCTGGTAATTTCACACTTTGCCCTCTTTCATAATATTAATAATCTTTTTCAAGACTAAAAAAAAACCCAAAACAAAACAAAAAATCCAACACAAAAATGGAAGATTTCTGCAGATCTGGATTCAATGGCACATGCCATACAAATGTTCTGGTGAAAACATGTTTGGCATGCAGTCCACTTCTGAGATGAAGCATTTACACTGCTGTCATTTTCCATTAATATTTTATTAAAGAAATATGTATACTGCTGCAATTTCATAGCTTTATATAAGCTTCTCATGTGATTGTATTTATAAAATGGAAAAGAAATTAGCAAGTGGTGAAAGAGAAAAATGAAGGAAATTCCAGGTGACAATCTGTCTTTTTTGGTTCTTGAGATTCAGCTTTTTATGGACCAGTTTTCTTCACTCTTCATCTTAAAAGGTCTTTGCTAAAATCTGAGACTTTACACATGTCTCACACCAAAAGAAATCATTACAGGACAGAGCCATCATCATGACAGCAACAAATAAAAATCAGTTCAGCAGAAGCTTGCTTGTATGATGCAATCATATGGCTTTTTTATTTTCCAGCAGAATTACCTTTTTTATTACTTACCCTACATCAATCTATTGTTAAAATACTTATTAATACTTTTTTCATTTATTTTCCTCATTCACTTTCTGCAATTTACCTATCTTCAAAGTCTGATTGCCTCAGGACAGAAAATGACAATTGCTTCTGTGGATTAGGAGTGCTCCTGAACACAAAAAACATTAGAAATTGTAGGCTATTTCATCTCTCTCCTAATTCAGCAGAAGAAGTATTTACTTGTGAAATAACCTTCTTATTGTTGCATCACTTTTTTTAAAATGGGGGGCCATTGCTATATTAAATACATGTACATACATATGATTTCCCATGTATGACTGGAAGAACTTCAAGAAGGCATACTCTTACCTCACTATCCTCCAATGCCTCTTGTGTGTTTTGAAGACTTTTAAATTTCCTTTAAATTACAGTCTCACTAGATTTCCAGAAGCACTGTGAGGAATGGTAGAATCACAGGAGGGCTCACACTGAGTCCTTGAACTGAAACATGTTGAGACTGTATCTGAAAACCTATGGTGGCTGCTTAAGATCATACTATTCAAAACATTTCCTTTTCAACTTCCAGGTGACAGCCCACATATATGTTGTTTTTGCATCTCCAGACAGAAGTCTTTCAAGAAACAGTGACTTCAGGGCTGTGCTCCTAAACACATCAGTATGGTCTGCTCTGTGCCTGGATACTACAGGCTCAGGAGATGTGTACCAGGTGTGCATTTCTTAGAGGCCACAGGTAAAGACATTTATTAACAAGGCCAGATGTAGTCTGAGCCCTGAAGAAATAGATTCTTGTGATTGATGGGGGACCTTCCTCAGCAGTTTTGTATCAGCTTGTCAGACAGAAAGCATGAATAAAGACAAGAATTCTACCTTGTCCATCCAATGGAGCAAAATGCAGGAAGAAAACAAACTGTATAAAGAATGAAAAGTCTGCTATACCCATATTGAGAAGATTCAAAAACATTCAAAACTCTTCAAAATTATATTCCCTTTCTTCCCTCTTGCTGATCAAAACTGCAAATGCTCCAGCAAGTTCTACCATATAATACGCATTCCTCTAACTTCTGTGTGGAAAAGAATGATTTCTTGGAAGCTGGAGACAATCCACAGATAAGGTAAAGCTAATTAGAGAAGAAAGGGAAAGTGTAAGAGATCGTGAGACTCTTCCTTAGCACTGGCTGCTCACGTGAGTGCTCTCCTGCACTGTTGTCCTGGTCGCACAGCACCTCTGTCAGACTGGAGCTGTAGGTCCCTGGCTAAGAGTGATGGTGTGGTAACTTTACATGAATATGCATTTCAATTAGCTTTTGTAAAATCTGTTATACTGGGCACTTTCTACCATTCAAAACAAGGAGAAGTGCTCATCATGGTTCCTTCCTAGCAGATCAGTAAGAACATTTCTTACCTGTGATCCCTTCTTGCTACCTGGAAGATTAATTATGAGAGTTTTCCCTCTGATTCCACACACAGGCCTGAAATGAAACAAATACAGACTGAAATTCTTGCATGCAACTATCACCACGATCAAAACAAAAGGAAAGCATTTAAGATAAATTCTATGATTTATCAGATTTTGTAAACCTAATTTCCAATATATTTGCTGATTATGTTCTCATAAAAGAACTTGGGAGAAGCTGAGCTGGAAAAGCATAAAACAAGACTGACAAGGTCTAACATTAATTTGACAGTGTAAACACTGGCTAGATTTCCATCTTTATTGAGATCTGTGTAGCTCCCTTAATTCTACTGCTTACTTGCACCCAACAAATGATTTGATACAGTCCCTATTTGGTTATACACACATGGTTCCTGTGCAGTGTAATTGATTGTGTCAAACATTATGTCCCTGGCCAGGTAAAAATACTAAGTTATGTTTGTTGCATTAATTCAAATATGTCCTTTTTATTTAAAGATTAAATATAAGAAAAGCAGAGAAGGAAGTAATTCTCAAATGAAAATTGTACTTATGCAATTCATATATAATTCTTCATAATACTGTTCCCCTCTCCCTCAAGAAAGGCAAGACCAACTATCAAAGATGGAAGTTTTTATTTTATTTTTTTTGTCTTTTAGAAATTTCTTTGGTGTTGATGTAAGGCTGAACACTCAAGTGCTGAATGCTTTCTGTTGTCTAGAGTTTGACTATTCAACATTTTAGCTAAATATTAAAAAAAAAAAAAAAAGAAACTAAATTGCAGAATTTTGTCTTGAGGTTGTAAAGACTGCTTCCATTGTTTACAAAAGCCAGGATGAAAAACACAAGGCTGGGATATAAGGACAAGAAAAATGTAAAAGGCAAAACTAAACCATGAAGATATGGAGGTTACAGTTTAGATAAACTGTGTAATAGTCTCTTTACTGAATAAAAACATGAGCTATAAGTAAAGACAGAACAGAAAAGAAAAAAATTTCTAGTTGTGGCACTAGCAAGAATTTTGAGCCAAAGGACATGGCTTATTGGGTAGCCAACTTCCTTGGATTTCCTCTTATACAAATAATTCTCAGTGATTAATGCCGTTTATTGGTTGCATGGCATTTTTTAGCAGGGCAACAAGTATTTCCACGAGCTGTCAGAATGCTCACAAGTAATTAGCACAGAGATCGTCTTTGTGCCACTAAATGAACTTTTGAATTCATACCCAAGCCAGCCTGAAGTGTTGTTTTCAACTGGCAGTTTGAGCATTGCCTGACTCCTAGCCTCTCTTTTTTTATAATGCCTTCTTTCACACTATGTACCCTCAGTTTAGAAAGAATTCCAGGTAGCTGAGGAATCTCTACTGCAGCACAAAGATGAGCCTGAATTAAAGAAATGTGTGCATTTACCCCAGTTGCAGTAGTCAAGTTTACAGAGTACAAACTCAAGCCAGCAAATCCCACACGTGGGTTACAGTTTATGGTAGATTTAAAACAAAGGTATTAAGAAGTGTCCACAGAGGAATAAAAATGAGGTGGAATTGTGTTTGGCAGACAGCTCCTTTAGTAGACATCTTCTCAGCTCTTCTACTCTGCTTTAAATGTTTTTGAGCGTTAGAAGCTAAATGTCCAGGGCAACCAACCAATAATTAAAAAAGGACTAAACCAGCAGCATGAAACTCAAATATCAGCTGCCAATAATCAGACCTACTGGCTCAAGAGAGAAATGGAGCTGCCAAAAATCTTCAAAAGAGCATGTAAAAGTAAGTTAAAGAGCTTAAGAACTGCATGGCTGGCAAAATTATTGTGTGTGCTTTCAAGAGAACCACACAGATTGTGCATGCATTTCAGGTGCTTTGAGAGATCAATCAGTGATATTCCTCCAGATGTAGGACAGTACAAAACATCTGTCTTTATTAAAGGGATTTTTTTGCCAAACAAAGCATTTTAATACTTGATGAACAACATACAGAGAAATTCTACACTCACCCCCAAAACACCACAATTCTAGAATGAAAAGACAGCTATTTAAGAGTGTGCATCAATATTACAAATTACCTGGCACAGAAAATACAGGAGGATACAGTCTCTAACAGAGACAACAAAGGGAATTTAATGAGACAATGCAATTACCATTATTTGAATTTGGCCCCTTCTCTGAAGTTAAGACTTACAGTCTTGACAACAATGGCAGTTATCACCTTCAGCAGATTTGTGCACAGCCATTGGATAACAGTGAGTAATCCTATGGAAAGAGTTCACCTCCTGTTTTGAAGGAAGCAGTCTTACCTAGAGAGCATGCCCAGAGGTGTAACATTAAGTGATCCCATCAGCATTGCCAGGGCCATCCCCGGGGCTTCTCGCTCTATTACTTCTTTAGTGGCCTGCAATCAAAGATTAAATAGCAATCTGAGTGAACAAGTGTAAGGATAAGAAAAAAATGAAACCAGCTAAAAATTGGGTAGGAATATCTCCTCATTTTTCTTTCTGCCAAGAAATGTTGTTGCTAAATTCTCAACTGAAATGTGCTACAGAATTTTCTCTTGGTTGTGTAAAATAGGGAAAGATAAGGAGTTGGGATGAAGGAATGTTAGCAGCACTGTGAAGATTCCTATAGAAAGTTATAAAAGTCAGGACCCTATAAATATAAAAAGTGTTAACCAACACCACAGAAATAACAGCTGCCTCGATCAGAAAGGAAAAACTGAGAATAAGCAAAGGAAAGACCAATGTAACTGCCTTCTCTTCCTCATCAATCTTGTGCATTTTCCTGCTGAGATTTTCCCAGGCATGAGAAGGATGAATCAGTCTGTGCAGAAGATAGAAAAAAAAATTTGCAAAGGGAAGCCCATGTAGCAGGCAGGCAGGAAAATAGTAAAATGGTAATGATAATGGCCAGAGGCTGAGGCCTTCCCTTTTGATCATGTCAGCAAAACAGCAGTTCCAAACAGGCTGGTGGCTTTTATTCATAAGCAGTCCATACGCATTGGGCATTGAGAAGTCTGGAAGCAGTCTGAAAATTTTTGTCTTTTTAGTCTTTTTCCCAAACAGGGAATCAGACAGAAAATCATGCACAACCCTCTGTCCTTACTTCCTAACACAAATTTTCTCAAATGCACAATCTGTCCACTCTCCCAACATCTACCTTTACTGAGGACACAACATCTTTGAGACAGGTTACAGCCCTATCCTCTCCTCATCTCCCCCACAGCAGCTGCTGTTCAGTGGATCATATCACTTCATGCTCTGAAACAAGATTCTAACTTATTCAGCACAGCTAAATTGGTAGCAATGGTCATAGAACTATGAAATCCATGCCATAATATACACACAAACTACAATGCTTTCACGATACAACTATCAAAACAGAAATAGAACATCTTAAATATAAGGACACCCTGAATAAACTGAATTTCCTTGGCAGTTTGATATAGACAAAAACCAGGCAAATTATTTTGTGGGAAAGATTCAGTTATAAATCACACACCTGTACTTTTCTTACTGTACTAAGCTCTTAATTACGAACAGAAAACTAAAGTCCTAGAGAAGGAAAATGACAGAATTACCCCAACAATGTCCCTGAAAGAAGAACACTTACATGTAAGGGTGCTTACACGAAGCAATAAATAAAACAGAAAAACAAAATCCATCAAGAGTACGGATATTCAAATTGCCATATTCTCAAACATGATCATTAGCTTTTGACATTTTTTAAAGGAATATCAGAATATTAATTAATTGTAAATTCATATCAGTATTAGAAGACATCAGATACTGCTATCATGTAAATCTTTGAGTACTTTATTAATAAGCAAACTTGTTATGTGCTCAGTTACAGGAAACTGGAACTTTGGTTTATAAAAGACCAAGCAACTTTAATTTAGTAGCTGACACCACAGTCTCCTGTATTTCAAGCATAGCATGTTGGTTTTTGGATCTGCCATCCTCTACACAGAAACAGAAAAGTCATATAAATACAGTGACAGCATTTTACACAGGGAAAATAAGAAGAAGTGAGCTTGGAGTGATATAGACAAAAATAAAACTCCTCCATGGAGTGAGATTACCTTAAGATACCTGCTGAGATATCATCAATTACATTAAAAATTCTTAAGACATCCACAGACCTGATGATTTCTATAATATAGAAGGTAACGGCATTGCAATGAAGAGACACTTTGCTGACCATGAAAAGGTCAGTGAAACATGGAATTCTCTGTATGTGCATACATAGAAAGTTTGTATCTGTGCCTTTTCATTTCAGTTAATACCATGCTTCAAAGGTGTTCAAAACTGTTTTTAAATATAAAGTGCATTTTGAGATTTATTTTCTGCCCTTGAGCACAGTGACACTTTGAAGATATCATTAGTTAAAATTCTAAGCAGGCTTCAAAGGTAGTACAAGATGCAAGACAGTCCATAAACAATGAACCTGCAGCTCAGGGAGTCCTTCAATGAAATTCAAGTCCATTCTCCAACTTCATAAGAAAAATGACCTTCACAAAATGTCACTGCTAGCAGGCAATGTGATTATTAAAAATGTATAGACTAAGCAACAAAATCTGAAAGGGCATAAAGCCCAAGCAGCAGTACAATCCTCAACACAAGTTTCTAAAAATGGTTGTTTCAAAATATATATGCTTATATTTATTACTGCAGATGGACCTCTACAAATAGGGAAATGTTTCCTGTTTTCATGTTTGCAGCCTGACTGGATGGATGCAACCAAAAAAAGCTGCTGCTAAGTAAACTACTGTTAGTGACATCTGCTCTTGAAATCAGCCGCTGTATAGTCCACTTTTGGGATGTCCTCAAATAACATAACTTAACATGTGCCCTGATCAGGAACTGAAATCACCATCACACTGGGAAGCACACTCTAAATTAGCTATATGTAGATGAATTAAATCAGCAATATTTCAATCTGTAACAACTGTGTGTTTCAGCTAACAATGCACCAAAGTGCTGGTGGCCAGGTTTTCTCGTACTTCTCTCAGTAGTTTTTGTGTGAAGGAAGGGTGGAAGAGAGATGTCAAATTTAGATTTTCATCTGTGTCCAGTTCAGGAGTTAACTGTCAGCTACCAATTCCTGCCTCTGTGGAAACTGTTAAGGAATTAGTGACTCAGTACCTTCACATGTTACCAGTACTCTAGCAAGGCTGAATTAAGACTGTTCAACCTTGTTTCATGGGCAATTCTTTTGTTGGTAGTCTCACCATCAGCCAGCTGTTGCCCGCTGCAGGGGGCCAGAGTGTTGGCACAGAATGAATCACAAATCAAGGCTGTTGCCCTCAGCTCTCTTACAACAGCAGTGATGACACCGTTGGGCAGATGCAGGAAAAAATGATGATATTTCATTCAGAGCTGTCACACTGATGCCTTAATCAGGACTGAAGCTTTACACTGATTCTCAAACCTGAGGCTTATGACTCAGGTAGGTGGAAAATACTGGAGCAAAACACTAAAACAACACCAAAAAGTGTCCCCAGTTTGTGACGGATAAGCTGGTAGTACAAAGAAGACAGGTGCACATAAGAGAGAGGTGGAAGAGAGAAGTTGCACAGAAACAGAAGTACTTGAAAGTAAAAACCAGAGTTGAGGAGAAAGACAGAAATGCAGAAAGTCCAGCTTGGAGGTTGCAAAGAAAGGCAAGGTCTGTAGTTTAGACTGGAGAAGGGAATGTGGGAAGAAGGAAGCTAAAGTGGAAAGGTGGAATTGCAGGAAAGCAGTAGGATTCTCAAAAGGGGGAAATGAGAATAGCGTGAGAGCAAGTGAATGAAGTGAGTGGGATGGGAAACAGTGAGGAGGTTGCAACCTGAGGATTTTTTTCAAATCCAAACCATTCTATGGTTCTACAAAGAAAGACTGCCCAAGGCAGCTTGGATAGAAAATAGATGAGGGAGAAACTCAGGAGAAGCAAAAAGGGAAGACAAGACATGACAGAGTCAGGACATGGGGAAGCCACGGAAGGAGACAATGGGATTGAAATAAAATGCAAAATGCTAGTTTCTACTCCAAAGAGGAGAAGTAGGGACAAACAATTTAACTATTTAGGATTTACTAACAATGTCTATAAGATAAGTACCTCTTATATTTCATTGCTATATGAATAAATGCAATTGATTTTAAAGCACTTTTTTGATTGTTTACAAAGTGCCTTTTTATTGGAGTTAGGGCATTATGTTCCCAAACCAACTGGTATATTTTTAGATATCTTTGACGTAGTTGCGGTTGCTTAACAGATGGCTCACTGCCAATTGGTTTCACAGAGTTCTCTGCTGCTTCACTGACTTTCTTTGCCTCCACATAAATTGTTAGTTCAGTTTCTAACCTGTGGAAACCCTCCCAGGCAGTTTTTGGAGGATATACTTAATGCAGACTGATTTAATTAAAAGACCTAGACCTAGACTACTCTTCTGGAAATGTTCAGAAACTCCTTATCTTCGTCTTTCAGATATTAGCAAAGTTTGACCTCAATAGTAAGTAATGATCTGAGATGTTTCATATACTCTTCAACTGGGTTTGGGCAGCAATATAGTTTTACTTCTTCAACTAAAATGCAAATATGAGACTCAGAATCATAATAAATTCAATTAAATTAAGATGACAGAGACTGCCTCTGTGGAAAATATTATTTCTGTTGAACAAGTTAAAATCTATGACTCTGCATAGTATATAATAGAGCTATAGATGAAAATTAATGGACAAATTGCAGATAATTTATGTTTAACAGATTACAGCATCAGCATCAATAAGATTTAATTACCTCTTTGAGCTTTCCACTGAAAGCTGAAATCTTGGAAGGGTTTTACCAAAGAAATACCTACATAACCTCTGCAACAGAGCTCACAGATCACGGAAGAGCAGAGAAAAACTAGAGAGATAGATCAGTCAAATATGAAACAAAAAGGTCGGGCATGTCTGTCAACCAGTTGTGTAAAACTGCATCTCTCAATTTGGAGATGAGATGCCTTCTTCAAAGTTATTCAGAATATCTCTGCTGGAGACAACACATGTGCCAGTAATTTTTATTCACAAATCAGCTATTTCAGCTTATTGTCTACTTCCCCACTCTTACTTTGCAGGGAGAAAATAGAGCTTACATGGAGCTAGACTGATCAGAGCTTGTCACCAAAACAACACTTAACTATTTCCTCTTCATGAGCAACAAGAAATACAGGTTTCAGCATTGGTTTCTTTCAATACATTGGAAAGTTTTTTTGGATAAGGATTTTGAATTAATCTCAGTTTCACCATTATGGTGTCTTTCCTTGAATTCTTCCTATTCTTTGTCACCAATGACCTGTATGGTGATATTCAACATCTTTTTTTTTATGGATGTAAGGCATGACAGGATTTGTGCTCTTTGATGCTTTCCAAATTT